ACTCGAAGGGATTATTATTCATTAATCCTGTATTAAGAGCTAATCATATTATATTACTTATGGTAAATTTTAAGTCAAAAAGCTTTATGTAATCCTGGGATAAGGAGTCACAGTTACACTTTGCTTGAAACCAGTGGGTTAATATCATACCCATGCATATTTCTTTAGTAAACACCAACACTAGTCTGTATTAATTAAAATTGCTGTAAAATAATTTCTAATCAGAGATAGTAGGATTTCCAACAAAATACCATTACAGTGAAAAAGGAAGAAGTTTCCTCTAGTGTTGCTATTTTTCCACCTCATCTTCTATTTCTAATCCTGTTTATGACTCAATAATCATAGCAGCATTTTAGTAAATTTCCTCTAGTACTAATGATATGTGAATTGTTAACACCATTTGAAAAATCCTTTGGACTACAACAAAGTTACAAAAGCCAAAAGGTGACAGAGAGTTTCACCAGCACCAGCCACGAGCAGAATTTATCTCAAACAATGATTTAATCATGAGTGGGTTGCACCCCTGTCTGGGGACCGGCAAAGCGTTGCTCTCATGTTATCACAATCCAGTATTTCATCTGAAGGAATAATTTTGCTTTTACATGGGAATAAGTAAAACCAGAAAATGCTGTTGGTTTTTTTTTTTTTTAAATTACAAATAGAATAACTGTCTTATATAAAGTATAAAAGGCATGTTTTTGACTGATTTTTTTTTTTTTTCCCGCTCGTTGTTCAGTTTTCCAAAATACAATCACAACCTTCAATGGAGTTGAATTTAACTATTCAATGCCTACAAATTGCTACCATGTCTTGGTGCAGGACTGTAGTCCAGAACTGAAATTCCTGGTGATGATGAAAAGACTTGAAGAGTCTGATGACATTATAGCAGTAAATGTCAGACTCGCCAGCCAGTAAGTGATTGCAAACATAATGACAAATAGATGTCAAGGTGAATATGCTATAAATGTGAAGACCAGACTGTTAGGGCAGATCGGTACTAGCATAAGACTCACGCAAAAGTTAATGATGTCAATGGAAAGATTTCTAAGAATGTCACTGGGATTTGGGACTTTAAAATTGCTTCTGAAATATATCTGAGGTTCACAGTAACTTAAAGTCTTTACTTCCCAAAATTCTTCATTAATTTGTTAGCATTTAACCATCTCATTTCAGTTCTTAGTAATTAGGTACACACATAAACTATAAATCCAAAAGGGGCTATTGTAATCATTTAGTCTGGCCTCCTACACTAAGCTAATAATTAGAACTAATTACCAGCCACAATCATCTCAGCAGAGATGTTGAGAAGTGGACATAGCTAAAAAGGGAATTACCTATCCCAGATTAGAGGCACTCTCTGATGTCGCCCCTTAGTTGGTGCACAATGTTCTAATCTATTTGAAATTAATTTAAGACACTCTTTGTTTCATCTTGGAGCAATCACCTCTGCCATCACAGGTCCTTCTTTAAAAGTATAGTCTGATACTCTAAATTGTATGGGATTATGCATACCAAAATCATTGTAGGGAGTATTCTTCAAAGCACATAAATAGGCTTTGATCTGTAAGGTTTCATTACAAGTAATTACTTATTTCTGAAAATTGTGTGCCTAACTGTGCCATAATGTTAAAGAAACAAGAGAGAAACTAGTATTCCCTGCACCTGTTTTGTGGAAGAACAGAAGGATGCTTGTTTTACAGACTCTATCTTTTGTGATAAAGACATTCCTTGTCAGTGTATCATTCCTGATCGTTTCACACAACTGTATGATGTGCTTTTGATGTGCTCGAGCTTCATATTTCTTCATTAGAGCAAACACTGCTCTGAAGAAAATACTACAATACACAGACTATTCAGACTGTAAGAGAACTGCCGGAGGGAATCCAATCTCCCTTTGAAATGTAAAGCACCTTCAATTTATGCAAACGTAATAGCAATTACATTGTTCTGCAGCAAGGGTCCCTGTAGCCTGGTGTCCTCCTGCCTGTACTGTGGCCACAAGTAGACATGCAGAGAGGAGTAAAGCCAGGGAAAGGTGTACTGTGACCACTCCTGGCACACTTTCCTGGGTGCTCTCAGTCCTCCTCCCAAAGGCTTGCAGGTCATTCATGCCAGAATAATATGAGCATCCTGCAGTGTTGGTTCTGCCAGGACTAGAAATAGTGAGCTGAGGAGGGTGAAGGAGAAGCATTTGTTTATACTCATTTCCTTTACTTCAAGTGAGGTTGACATGTATGTTTCCAATGGACTCATCCAGCTGAAGATTAATGGTGTTCAAGCCCCAACAGATGTTCCATACACATCTAATTCTGGTAAGAGAGCCATCTTTATATTTTGTTTAATCTTTTCTGATTGTTTGAAGATGGAGAGGACGTGATCCTGCAAACACCTCTCAAGATAAAGATCGCCCTAATTTGAGAAACAATGAGTTGATTTTAACATAACTTCATGCTAGCTTTCATAGGGGATGGCAAGAAAGATGAGCAAAGAAAGATGCTGCTCACGTGTATTTTTGCACAAACCAAATAATGCAGGGCTGTGGTACCCTGTGCTGATCACAGAGACTCACAGAACACGCTTCAAGATGTCCCCTGGCCATGGCCACCCTCGTCACAGGGCTTTGGCTTGTTCTAGGGCAGAGACAAGATCAGGGAATGGTCTTTCTCATTTCTCCCATCTATTTCAAGTGATCTCAAGTACATTATAGCCTGCAGTAAGTCCCGAGGAATTTAACAACTGGTTCAGGCTGGACTCTAAACAATACTTTCCTTTTAAAATAAATGCCTTTTTGCTTTTCTTTTGCAGATGCAAGCATGCTGATCAGCAAGGAAAAGGAAGGCCTGGCACTAAAAGCCCCGGATTATGGCATAGATAAACTATATTATGATGGGTCTAGACTTGAGGTATCTTTAAATTATTTTCAGAGGTTTTCTTTTTAGAAGGGAAACATTTAACTGCATCTTTTTTTTATCTCCACAAAGATTCAGGTTGCTTTCTGGATGGCTGGAAAAACATGTGGTATTTGCGGAAAATACGATGCTGAGAGGGAAAGGGAATATCAAATGCCCAGTGGATATTTAGCTAAAGATGCAGTGAGTTTTGGTCAGTCCTGGATCATCGCAGAAGACCCCTGTGCTGGAGGTACTAAGATCCTAACATATATGAATGTTGTTGCCTTTGACTAATTAATTAGTCACATGAATAGATGTTTTATATTAACTGCAGCACAATCATCTTATTTTTCACTATTTTTGTGATTAGTGGCCATAGACTAAAGAAAAAAAAATTGTTTTTTCTGAGTTTGGTAGTTTACTGCAAGTTTTGATTTTGTTGCACTTTTATATCAACTTCTTATGCTCTATGTAGTTACCTGAAGTTTGTGTCTTCCAGATAAAATTATAAACTTAAAACTCCCTAACATGCTAAGTTAGTATGATAAGTAGTTTGACTGATGACAATTGACATTTTATGTCATTCTTAATAGTTTCGCTTTTTTTTTCATTCTGTTATTTCCAGGCTTTTACTTTCCCAGAAAATAAAATTAAATTAAAATCTAGCCCTGGCTATTGAACTAGAGAACAAACTTTGAGGTGGGAAATACCTGTTTTAATTTCCGGTAACATTAGGGTGCACCGCATTTTGTGTGGAACCCAACATTTTGGGCAAATGGTGACATTTTTGGAATATATTCTTAGATTAAGTTTCCCTGGAGTGACTGACCCATGAAAGCCTGGATTGCAGAGGATTAAGGCCTAAACTATGTAGCCATGGCAAGGCGGGCGTGATGCTAGACACAGTGCAGAATTGGATATACAGATGTCTAAGAGCCACTACTGCCCCAAAATGAAGTCTGGGTATGGTTGAGTGTCAGCTGACCCAAGTTTTTCTATGCACCTTTTTGGATTTGGACACCTGTGTCCTACCTAGATCCTATTTGGCAAGCCTCTGTCCTTGGGACTGTGCTCCACATGCCCCATTCTTTCACAGCCTGAGCCACTGACAGAACCCAACTCACTTCAACCAATTTAGTTTCAGGTAGCTTGTGTCACTTGGTACATCCACTGGTCTTCCTTGTTGCTAATTCTACAAATTAAGTCCAAAAAGTTATTTATGTAAATCACGTAGGTGCTTTAACAGAATTCATGTTTTACAGCTTGTAAGCTGCAGCGTAAATTCGTCAAAATTGAGAAGCCAGTTGCGTTTGAGAAGGCGGCAGCAAAATGCTTCTCCGTGGAGCCAGTCCTACAGTGCCTGGAAGGCTGTTCAGCCACCAGGACCGTTCCCGTCTCCGTGGGCTTCCACTGTGTGCCACTGGGTGAGCGTGTAGAACGGGTGATCGTGCACAACACAACCCCTGCGTCCCACACCCGTCCTGTGATAACCCGTGAGGCTGACCACACCAGTAACGCCATACCCCCGTGTATGGAAACCCCCTCACACCACCTCTGCTTTCCTCTTTTTCTCCCTATTTGCAGACTCCGCTCTCGACCTGGAAGGCCAGACCAGGCTAGGCCAGAAGTCCGAGGACGTCGTGAGCAGGGTTTCTGCCCACACGGCGTGTTCCTGTCACCAGCAGCCGTGCCCGGCCTGATGCCCTGCGTCCAGCCTCCCCTCGCTCCTGGCCCTCACCACCAGCCCGCGCGCAGGGCTGGCCCGGGCACCCCGGACGAGGCCCCGTCCCCTCAGGAGAGCCTTTTCCTCCGGTTATTTTGAGATCTTGAAAATAATTCTGGACACTTTTCGCCGGGTTTCGGTCTCTGAATAAACCGTTGCTCTGTCAAAGCGGCCACTCGAGATCCTTTCTCCCCGAACGAGCGGTTCCCTGCAGGCGGGCCGCCCCCCTGCCGGCCCTGTTCCGCCCGCCGCCGCACTACCGTCACGGCTCCGGCCCGGCCCTCAGGCCGGGAGGCGGCCCCGGGCTCTCACCCGCCCCTCGGGTGAGGGAAAAGACGGCGGTGTCTCCCCGGGGCGCTCCCCGGGGCGGGCCGGCCCTAGCGTGCTCCACCCGCCAGCCCCGCGGCGGAAGCGGGGCCCTGCCATGGGGCGGCCGTGGGGCCGGTCGTTGCTGCCGCTCGGCCTCCTGCAGCTGCTGGGCGGCCTGGCCGCCGGTGTGTGCCCCTGCCCGGACCCGCGGCTCTGCCACCCCATCACGGGCACCGGCGGCTTCGAGGTGCGGGTCCCCCGGTGGCTCTGGGCCCGCCGGCCCGGTCCGGCGCGGCGCTAGTGGCCGATCCCGGCGGGGCCTGCGCGGTTAGCGGCGTGTGGGACACACCGTGCGGCGCTGCCCGGTTTTAATTGCCTGCGTTAGAATCGAGCAGGGTGTTTTTTTAAAAAAAAAGAAAAAAAAGGTGTACGTGATTTACGGGGAAAGGGCAGAGGTGTGATGAGGGAGGTGTCGCTGCACCCCAGGGCCACTCCCGCTAAGGTGTCCGGGTGTAGGAGCCGGCAGGGGAACCACCACAGGCCATGTAGCTTTTAAAGACACATCTGGGAAATAATCATCCTGCTGAGAAGTGTTTGGAGCTAACGAGGGTGCTTTTTACCCCTTTCCCAGGTCTTCGTGTTCGATGTGGGGAAGGAAACCTGGAAATCCTACAACTGGTCAAAAATTACGACTGTGGCAGCATTTGGGAAGTACGACCCTGAGCTCATGTGCCATGCTCACTCTAAAGGCGCCAGGATAGTCCTGAAAGGTTGGTTACCTTGTGCAAATGTGGATGTTTAAGTGATACGTGAACATCATGTACATAGGGCTGTAATACCTGGAAGTTTCACATCTACTTGTATGTAAAGTATTAAAAATCAGTAAGAGGATTAATTAATAAGGGGATAGTGCACACAGGACTATAATACCTTCACATTTTGCATGTGCTGGTATGCAGGGTATTAAAACCAGTGGTGGCTCTGGACACAGTAATTGCAAAACCATTCCAGTGACATGTAAATAAAAAGCTCTGTAACAGGGAACATCACGGCTGTGGTGAAACAGGGAGGAAGGAAAAGCCAATAGTAGATGTCTGTTTGTGTCTGCATTCTGGTTGTTACGTGCAGTACTCAAAAGACAGGGTAAGGGAAGGGACTACAAGTAATTTTTAGTATTTAAATCAGTCCTCTGTGGTGAGTGGGAAGTGGTTGAGTTTTAAATCACGAATACTTGGGAACTCTGTGCAGGTACAAATGCTAATTAGGAAAACAAAATCCATCTTGCTGATCTGTGCTTACATGCTGTAATCAAGTTTTGGCTCTGCTGAAGCAAAAATTTCATCCACGACCACAGTGTGGAAAGCAACAAAAGTTAAATGTAAAAGTATATTTATAGAAACACTAAGACACAGTCCCTCTGGCTCTCTGGAAATACTGGAAGTAAATTTACTTCAAGAAAGGAAGTTTAAAGTGGCTAAAAAAAATATTAAGCAGAAGTAAGGAGATCAAAGTGATAGGAAAAAATTCCACAAGGAACTTAATTTTCAACACCACTGTCTTGAAGAAGCTTGGTAAGCTCTTCCGGTGGGTTCTCAAAATTATGCTTGGGGAAAAAAACCCTTTGTATTTTAAAAGTATGAGTGTGTGGAGTTTTTACTTTGTTATTATGTTGGTTTAGTAAAGACAAACCTTTCCTCCTTACTGTTACTGTGGGGCAAATACGTGTTAACTCTTGAAGGCCTCTTTTCTAGGTGATGTACCTCTTAAGGAGATTGTTGATCCTGCTAAAAGAGCAGCGTGGATATCCCAACAGGTGGACCTTGCAAAAAGGCAGTATATGGATGGAATTAATATAGATATAGAGCAAGAAGTTAATGAAACCTCTCCTGAGTATTATGCATTAACAGAGCTTGTTAAAGAAACTACAGATGCTTTTCACAGAGAAATTCCAGGATCACAGGTAATAATGTTCTTTATACAAACATTAAGTTTAACTTTATAAAATGAAAGTAGCTTTGAGAACGCTGTTTAGCATATGAATATTAAAAAATACGCACATCTAAAGCACAGTGTTCTCATGAATGGTTAATTATGAATGTTAGCTATGATATGCTATCATAAGAATCACTCTTTTTGACCTGTATGAGTTGAAATGGAAGAAGGGTTTCACTGAGATTTGTAGATGCAATGTTACTGCTGCCTGTGAGCTGGCAGTTATTAGTATGGCTTAATGAATCTTTAAAAGTAGGGCAAATACAGGCTTCTGATGCAAAAGCTTTGACAGTGTTTTGGTAAACTCATCACTAAAGTTTTAAGAATTTGCGTCATGCTTCATATTTTTGATCAGATGGTTTTCATGTTGTGTTTTAATTTCTTTGGTGTTTTGAATTCACTAGTAGGAGCACTCAGTGTGTGTTACCTAGTGGTTATCAGCTGAGCAGCTTCTGTAGTTCATTAGTATCACCGTGTGTTAAACACTGTGCAACATTTGGGAAATAGTCTTTAGAAGTTACAGCTTTTTTTTAAAGAGAAAATTGGGGCACCTGAGTGCCATGCATGATACTAACTTGTGGATTTTTCCTTCAGGTATCGTTTGACGTGGCTTGGTCTCCATCATGCATAGATAAAAGGTGCTACAACTACACTGGGATTGCAGATGCCTGTGACTTCTTATTTGTGATGTCATATGATGAACAGAGCCAGATCTGGACAGACTGTATTGCAAAAGCCAATGCTCCTTATCTGCAAACGTTAGTTGGTGAGGACAAAATGCCTCCCCAGGGGTCAGAACATTTCCCTTTGTTCACGTGAATAGACAGAAAAGATTGCTGTTTCTTAGGCAAGTCTTTTGGTTGCATTGAGGCTTTCGAGTGATCTCAAATATGCGTTGTGAAAATAAAGTATCTCAGATCCTCACGACGCTACGGGTAGGCCTTTAGCAGTTGTGTGCTGTTATTTGTAAAGTAATTGTCTAGCCCTCACGATTGTGAAGAACACTTTTAGAACGACAAATGGCAGCCAACGCAATGGTGTCTGCCTGGGCTTGCAAAGAACCTGGAACATTTGTGTCTCATCCTTGTGAGCTGCTGCTACGGGCAGCTGGTTTTAAGTGTGAGCAGCTCGAGCAGTTACTGGGATCTGAATAGAGCAAGTGTAGGAGTATGCAGGTGGGACGTAAGGAAGAGCTTGCACCTTAGCCTCTGGGGATCATGCAAGTCCTGTATTGGCTCTGGCTCTGGATTAGTTCTAAGAATAAAAAGTATGGGAAAATGCAATAGTGCATCTTAATTTTTATTTCTTTCAAAACTAGGATACGAAGAGTACATTACTATGGGCATTGATCCGAAGAAGCTTGTGATGGGCGTCCCCTGGTATGGCTATGACTATGTCTGCCAAAACCTGTCTCAGGTAAGATGAAGATTATTCATTTGCAATCCTACTGTTAATTTTTTCCTTGGAAAGAACCGGCTAGATTGTCATCCTGGTTTTGGATAAGGAAATACTGCAGTCTGGTGGATAAGACCATAAAGCTGGGACTCAGGAGAGAGACTTTTGCTTGGCTGATAACTGATGAGCAGTGTGTTACCAAACAAGCACCATGTTTGACTAAGGAGCTGTAGATGTTATCTGTATGAGAAGAGATGATGCCCAAAAGCACTACAACACTTGCATCTGCCTTCTCAACACAGTCACTGAGCTCGCTGTTTAAAGACTAGGTGCGACGAACCATAGCAAACCTGTGACTGTTAAAGTGTAGCAGTTTATGGATAAATCATGGAGTCTCAAACTTAGGAAAAATGTAAGAGTGAATTAAAAATTGAAAAGATGACAACTGTGTAAATTGAGTGATGTTCATCCAATCCTGTATTTCTAGAGAGTAAACAAAATTTAACTGTTTTAATTTACTTCTGTCTATAGATAGTATGTCTGCCTCACATACTTGAAGATTTGGGATTTTTGAGATCCCAACGCCTTTTGTGACTTTGTTTTTGGCTGTTTTGAAGTTCAATAAATTTGTGTAACATGAAACCCATCCTTTCTGTTTTTTTTCCAGGATCACATTTGCTACCTCCCCAAAGTACCTTTCCGTGGGGCTCCTTGCAGTGATGCTGCAGGGCGTCAGGTCCCCTACGGAGCAATAATGAAGCAGGTGAACAGTTCTCTCTCAGGGGTGCTGTGGGATGGGGTACAGAAATCTCCATTTTATGAATACCAGGTAAGTGTCTCTTTATAAGACACCATGTTGTGGAGTAAACGTTTGTGAACTATAGTTCTATTATAAAGTTTTCAGGGTTAGATTCTTCCATTTGTGTTTTCTACTTTTTTTTTTGTTTGTGTAGTAAAGGATAGCTGAATTTCCATACCTTCAATTTCTAGTCTGAAAGAGGGGTGACTGAAGACTGCAGGAATACTAAAGATCTTTATTACTTTACAGTTTTCTTGAGAGATTGTATCATTTCAAAAATATGTTTTGGCACAAAGAAATTCTATAGATCCATTCTTCCCAGTGAACAGTTACTTATGATGATTGATTTAAACTGAAACACATTCTGAAATGCTCTTAATTTTTTTCTACCCCCGTGACTTGCATGCAGGTTCTCTTCTGCTTTTGGTTTCTACATAGACATAGTGAGAATCCATGAATGATTGTGCTTACATGAACACCACAGTTTCTTTAAGCTTTTAAGTTTCAGGTGTAAACGATTAAAAGGTGTTGTAAGGTGTAAATGTTTCAGGTGTAAATGATTAAAAGGTGTTGTAAGCAATTAACAGGTCAAAGCAACATAACTTTGAAAAAATTTTACAACCTCCTCCTAAGCTGTTTATTGCTGAAAAAAGCACTTAATCTCTAATTAAATCCACCTGCTAGGTTAGATAATGTATCTGAGATTTTAGCTGTATTTTTGGAAATTATTAAAATACAAATTAGCTAAATCTTTTCATCTAACTTTGGTTAAAATGTATCTCTTTTATAACAGATTCTACAAGTAAAAAAATGGCCAAGTATTTGACTTAGAATTCTTAATTGTCCTGTCTGAAAAATAATTTGCAAATCAGCAAAGTATCATTATGTAAATCTACATAGCTTGTATATCTTGAGTTTTTAATTGTACTTTTCATTTCATTGAACAGAAAATGTAATCAGAACTCAATGAACTTTAATGTATCACATTTATATAGATATGTAAATACTGATGCAATTGTTTAAATGTCTTTCTAGGATTCTTTTGGTCACTTGCACCAAGTGTGGTATGATGACCCTCGCAGCATCTCTCTAAAAGCAGCATATGTGAAGAAACGAGGTTTAAGGGGCATTGGCATGTGGAATGGAAATAGTCTTGACTATTCCAGGGAAGCTGTAGCAGAAAAACAAACTGAAGCAATGTGGCAAGCCCTGACACCGTAAGAACTATGTCAACCTTGATTTTTTTTTTATTATGGCTTATACTATCATAGACTTTGACTTTATATAAATATATCATGATTACAAAAACTTTGATTACAAAACTAACCAAATTCAACTTGTTATTTTCTATGCAAAGCCATATTTTCATTCTTCAGAAAGTCCCCATGTTGCTTTAGCAGCGTTTTTTTAAAAAGACTGTTGATCTTTTTTATTTTTCACAACTACCGTAAGTTGGTTAAAGCTCGACCGCAGTGTGTGTCTGGTAACAAGACCAAGGGGTGGATTTACAGGGACAATCTAATAATGAACCTTTGCTAAGGCTGCCTGCTGCAGCGAGCATTCATTCCGGGGTCATACGGTGCAGTCTCAGCATTCTGATTTCCCACCCCGACCTATATTTTAGCTAAATCACTCTTGAATCAGATTAAACACAGAATACTGGAGAGACAGATTGTTGCTTACATGCAACTTGGTGAAACTTGTGCTTGTTCTTTGGTTACTCTTCTAGAGATTAAAATATTTTATAGACTGAAGAAATTATGTAACATGAAATAGCTGACATTAAGATTTTTATCAGATTTGTTGTTAAAAGGGAATATTCAATAAACTCTGGTTTCACCGTGTTTATGTATCATGTAAATTCCTTAGTGTCAAAAGCCAAAAATCTCAGCCCTTATCTTGAAGAGGGAACAAGGGAACATTACTATGGAGAGGACCTGCGTGATGTTTTCTTCCTTTTCAAGCTTCTTTACATCATGAAAACTAGACCTTGGAAGGTTATTTAATGAACTGCGTATGTATTTTTTCACACACTTTAAGACTCATTCAGTAGCCTGTTGCTTGTTTTTATGTGGCGTTGCCTCTGAGGTGAGTTTTTAAAATACCCGTAGTGATGGAAAGATTGACTGTTGTTTACAGGATTTATTTTGTAAAATAAGATGATGTCTTCACAAAGTAAGTGGTAAACAATGTTGTCTGTTTATGCTTGACTTGTTCCACAGCTTACAGCCAACACTGCTTCTCAGAACTGTTTCACAACCAGATTAAAGTGCAGCCATGCCCGGCTTAAGTGACTCCATTAATTAAACAATTTATTAAATTAGATATATGTAGTCAGTTGTGGGGGATTTGGGTTTGTTGGTTGGTTGGTTTGATTTTTTTTTTTCCCTTGCTAAATAGTTACTGGGAAGACACCCCAGAAGAGCAGCACTAGCATAATGGCTACTGAGGAGAGGAATAGAAGGCTTCATCTGAGTCTCTGACTGCTTGATACTACAGGTGATGGGAAGCAGGTGAAGCCTACTGCTCTCACATAAAGCAAAAAATTCCCTTGGAAAAATCAGAGGGCTCTTCCCTAGACCTCTGGTCTGTAGGTTTTAGGAGAAACTGATAAATTTATTTAATTTATAGATACTTCAGAATTTGTATTAGTATTTATATTCATATGCTAAAATACTGTGAGATGGATATTTCTGAAATTGAGAGGTCTTCTGGAGTGGATGATCTGACCTACAAAATCCTAAGAGAAGGCCAGATGACTTCATAACAAAACTCTCTTTCCTGTAGCAGTCAAGAATCATTAGTTGGATTTTTTTTTTTATTTAGATTCAGATTTTCCAGCAGCTAGTGGCCTGTTCTTGTGTCTTAAATAAGACACAATTCTGAAATACAGAATGTAGGATTTAATATTGAATTGAGCAAAAGTGGTTGTACTTTTAATAATTAATTTAATACTTGAGCACTAAAATCTTTATTAAATCCTATCTTTAAGAAAATAAATTGAATAATGGGTGGTTTGACTCAAGACATTTGGAAGTTAGTCCTTTTGAAAATTGCATAATTTTTATTACTGTATTACTGATTTCTCATGAGTGTTTCACTTCCAGTAATAAATACAGCCTTGTCAGCTTTTTAGCTGACATTAATTCCTAGCATGTTATTGTTCTGCTTAACGTAATAACATCTAGTACTGCAAAGAGCCCAACAGGAGAGCTAGAAAAGATACTATCAAGAGGAGTTTTCTGATTACTCTTTCAGAGAATTGTTATCTAAGCACGTGCACAAGCATGAATTTAAAGAAAAACTGAGCATGCAATACTGGAAGTTGGTCCAGGATCATCATTACAGCTTGTCCAAGACAAAGCTTGTCTCTTCCACTAACTACAGAAGATGGTTAATGTCCACGTGTCTTTCCTAATAAGAGAGGAAACAAAATCGTCTAGGTATAAGGTGAGATCAGTTGAGATTTTGTTCATACTTCATAATAATATGGTAATAATACATTGGTAATTCATAGCTAGGCATACTTATAACGACAAAATTATACTTCAGCAAGTAGCTAAATAAAGGATTACTGTTGCTGTAGTTCTACAGAAGATGTATTTTAAACATTTTCCAAAAATTTAATGTGTGTGCCTGAAAATAAGAACAGGACATTATAGATTATTGGTTTATTTGCTTAGTAGGTATTTTGTTAATGAAAGAACATCGGTATAACAATGTGATGTTACACAATTCACTAATTTACACTTTTAAAATAACTTAGCTTTGTTTTAGACACGTTACTAGGTTAAACTGTATGTTTAAGTAGCTGACTAATCTTACAGCGAGATTTAAAAAGTGAGCTGCAGTATCTCAGTAGCCTAGTATCCAAATTCCACAACATGGATATAGTTGATGTCTTCTTACAAGACAACTTCAAGAACATACAAATGAATGCTCTGAAACTAAGAGTTTCTATACACATTACAGAGCTTCTGTAGACTTCACAGATATTAAAGTCATGTCATCACGTCATGTTAAATTCCTGATTTTCTGGACTGGAGAATTAAAGCTGAACGAATCTTCTTCTGTGTCAGTTCTGCTCTCAGTGCTCTTAAATCAGATGCTGCCTGCTTTCTCATCTGCAGAAGAACAAGTAATGTAAGGAATTGCACTTTAAGGAAGTTTTTGGAGTAGACATGCATATGGGTTTATATAACTAAGACTGAATTTTATACAGGATAGATGAATACAGCATAGACCTTTCATCTTTAAAATTTTACATGTCTAATTAGATAGCCTAGTAATAGCACTGCTTTCTTCTCTACTTTGCCTTGGTGTTTTTAAGAGAGAACTGTGAAATTCATTTATCTTTCCACTCCTTGTTATACAATGGAGGACGCATAACAAGTACATCCACCTTAGATGTGTTGGGTTTGCATGGCAAAAAAGTTTTTGACAGAGGCCATTTGACACTGTCCCGCACATCCTCCTGGTCTCTAAATTGGAGAGAGTTGGATTTGCCAGATGGGTACTTGGTGGATACGGAACTGGCTGGGCGGCCGCACTCAAGAGTTGTGGTCAATGGCTCAATGTCCAAGCAGCAACCAGTGGTGTTCCTCAGGGGTCAGTACTGGGACTGGTGCTGTTTAACATCTTTGCTGGCAACACAGACTGTGGGATAGACTGCACCCTCAGCAAGTTTTCTGACGCCATCAAGCTGTGTGGTGCGGTCGACACGCTGGAGGGAAAGGACTGATACCCAAGTTTTGTTTCTGTATACCATTCTTTTTTTCTTAGCTATCATCAGCTACTGATCAGTGCCTTACCAAGTATGTTCCTTCAATTACCTTTTGAGTGAAATGGGAATTTTTTGAAAGAGACTGTCAATCTTAGCTTACATAGTACCTTGAAAATCTAAGTTGCTTGAATGCCGTGCATTCGAAATCATCTAATACCCTGGTGGGTGTTCTGGAGTAATTTGGCTCAAGCGATAAAGTTACAATCATAGAATCATAGAATGGTTAGGGTTGGAAGGGACCTCAAAGATCATCGAGTTCCAACCCTCCTGCCATGACAACTAACACCATAAAATTAGCAGCATAAAGCAAGAACTGTTTAGCAAATATTTACATCATCTAATGTTGCTGTAGATCTAAGCATTTTTTATACTTAGTAACATTTCGACTGTTTTAATTAAAAGTCAGAGTACCTTAATCTCTATTATGAGTTTCATTTTTGTATCATCCAGCTTCCTCCTCAGTTGATCGAGTTCATGCCGCGCTGTAGTAATCCGGATGATTGTGTAATTCTGTGTGAAACAACAACAACAACAACACTTTACGTGCAGCATTAGCGCAGATCCGATCTCCCGAGTAACAGCACATTGTTTTGCAATTATCTTTTATGGTTACTCCCCATTTATAATAAAAAGGCATACTTCAAATCGGGTATTTTTTTCCTCTCACAGGCTCAGCATCACGCTGTCACAGCACATTTATTGATGAGATTGCTACACTTGTGTAATGTTTAGTACAGATAAACTCCTGGTTATACAGCGCAATAGTCTTTTCAGCAGTAGCTGGGTTGGGCCCCTCTTTGAATTAGCCCCTAAAACTAGAATTCATATTTTCAAAATGTACATTCTAAAAGTTGGCTTGTATAAGTCAACCGTAGTCCCTTGCAGTCAGTAACGTTGAGGGACGGGGGTGGGTGTGTACATGGTAATCTCTTGATGTTCCAAGCCTTTAAAAATGCTAATAAAGAGTCATATTAAGCAAATGACGTGATGAAGTTGCCCATACAAGGAGTCATTAAGTGGTATCTGTAGCTTCTCATCTCTGAGCTCCTGCTGTAAGCTTCTCCCCACCCAGGGGTGTAGCTGCCAACTTACAAGGGTCCAAGTCCCAGCTCTGCCACCGCACGGCTGTGTAACCCTGCTCAGACCACTGAGAAAGCAGGAAAGGTACACAGTCACGCAGGAAAAAAACAGGCAGAGCTGTCAGGTTAGTTGGGGGCTACGGGGGAATCATCACGTTGTGGGGTTGAGTCACCAGTGCAGACAAAGCTGGTGGAAGAGCAGAAACCAGCCACAGTGGGATCTGTTTCCCTGGTCCTGGCTCTCCCCACCTGACAGGGCTGAGGGCTGGAGAGCATACGAGTCCTTAGCCTAATAGCTCATTAAATCCTGGCTATCTGTCTTCTGTGTGTGCCAGCCAACAAGTAACTGCTGTATGCACGTGAAGTTGTGCATTGTCCTTCACACCAGGCCTCTTTGTGCCTAGCTAGAGAGACCTAAAAAACTCTGATATTGCTCCCAAAAGGAGCAATAACATATTTGAACACAGCTAGTTATATAATGTAATATCAACCCTATTAATATTTTTATATTGTAGATATTTATGTTACGATACCCCGAATAATATACATTTGTATATAATAGACACTCTTAGATTGTATATACAGTCTCCCACCTTTCAGATCCCAGAAAGGGACATTTTTTCCCCTAGTCTAGCTTCAGATTTGCCAACAGACTTGCTTTCATTAATGCATTTAGAAAATTAGCAGGTACAACTATTGGGAAGGGTGTTTCTCCCTGTTCTTTTATCTTTTCTTTTCTTAATTCCTCTCTGAACTTCCCCTGATTTGACACCAACAACATAACACAAGACTCACAGTTGCACAATAGTTCAAGTGCAACCATTCCAACAGCCTCAGAGACATTTCTGTCCTCCAAACACAACCAGAATTCATTACCTCTGTACATGAAATTTGGGATCATGACAATATATAATTGAACAATCCATTAGTCATACTGAACAAAAGGGGATTGTTAAGAGAAGGCATTGTATAAACACAAAGCTGAAAGAATCAAATGCTTAGGCTCAAGCACTTCATTTTTTTTGAGATGAACGGGCTGAAGTAATTCTAGACCTCAGATCATTGAGGGGTATTTGGTTGTTAAAGCTAGCTTACAAGTCATTGGTTGGTTATTAATTTGTTACTTAAATTTATATTTTATACCAAAAAATCAGGCTGTGTAAAAAGAGAGATTAAATAATACAAGCAAATACCTTGGAGTTTGTCATATCGTTTGGTCGTTTTCGACTGTCTCTGGCTTCCAATTGCGAGAGTAATTTCTGGTGGTAAAGCTCTAAATCTTGTCGCAGCTTGTCTAAAGTGTCCTCCAGTGAAACCGTAACTTTCTTAGTTTCAAAGTACTTCTTTTTCCATTCCTCGCGAACTACACAAGAGAACAGGAATACTGTTTGGTCTTGTTCATCTTATCATAAGGTCTATTGAAGTCAGTAACAACCAATTAATTTCACAAGGATACATGTGTCAAAATTATGCACAGGTTTCTTTAAAAAAAAAAACAATTCATGAAAATCTTCATTAAAATGACATTTACTATAAACGCAACTGAATTTTCAGACAATCATAGAATAGTTTGTGTTGAAAGAGGCCTTTAAAGGTCACCTAGTCTAGTGTCCCCTGCAATAAGCAGAGATATCTTCAACTAGATGAGGTTGCTCAGAGGCCCACCCAACCTGACCTTGAATATTTCCAGGGAGGGGGCATCTACCACCTCTCTGGGAAACCTGTTCCAGTGTTTCACCACCCTCATTGTAAAAAATTTGTTCCTTATATCTAGTTGAAATCTACCCTCTTTTAGTATAAAGCCATTACCCCTTGTCCTATTGCAACAGGCCCCAATGGGCTGAAAAGTTTGTCCCCATCTCTCCTGTAAGCCCCCTTTAAGTACTGAAAGGCTGCAATAGGGTCTCCCCAGAGTCTCCAGGCTTAACAAACCCAACTCTCTCAGCCTCTCCTTACAGGAGAGGTGCCCCAGCCCTCTGATCATCTTTGTGGCCCTCTTCTGTCTTTCCTGTGCTGAGGGACAATTTTCACACAATCCCCTGCAACAAAAGGCTTTATCTGTCCACCAAGATATAACACAGAAGTTCATTCAGCCTGGCTGTTCTACAGGTTTCAGCTGCACAATAAGTGCTCCCAACCCGTGAAGACTGGTACGCCCACCACAACTTTACAGTAGCAGAATATTTAGCACTGTAGATTTATGCAAAATTTGAGCTCTGCGGGGCCAGAGCTTTTGAACAGCTTAGTTTAATACAGAAGTTCAAAGATTATGGGAAATAGTTATTTACCTTTGCACTTAACTATGATTCCTCCTATGTTGTTAATGTGCTGTCAACAGCTGGCACATAAATCTCCCCGTATCTAATGTGGCAGTCTTATGGCCACATATGTCCACAAGTCTGCAAAGTGTCTTAAATATTTCTTTCTTTCAAGGCATATTTTAGGAAATCAGGACAATGGCTTCTCAGAAACTCAGCAAAAAGAACTCACCTGTTGGAGGACTATATGGTACGTAACTGAGAGTGACTGTCAGCATGGCAATCTTAGGAGGATATTGAATATAGACGGGACCACTGTTCCTAGAGAATATGCTCTTCCCTTCATATCTTGCAAAGAAACATGTTTGCAAATGGACTTACTTGTGAAACTCTCCAGGTCTGATAAACATAATTCAGAGGTAGAGACGCTTCATAAAGAACCCGCAGAAGCTGTTTGAATCCTTGTGAAATAACCTTTATTTTGCCTAACTGGATAACGTAATTTCAGACAGTGCAGGAACCATTTAGGGCTTATCTCATCAGGCTAAATTAGCTAGCCTTGCACCTTCATGCTGCTACAGATTCACTGCTTCAAGTACCCAATTTTGGGGTTTTTTTAAATACAACTTTACCATGCTGCAGAGTGCAGTTTAGCCATGCCCTTAGAGAAAAATTGGAAGGATTGGTTCATCTACTCCTTTCAACAAAGCTACTAATAATAGTTGAGACTCCTAGTGATTTAGCTGTATTTAAGTACAGAGAGAATGCTCTCAAAACATCAAAGTGATTAAACTTAATCTTTGTATAACTGGAATGTGATTTAGGGAGGATAATTTAAGTATAAACTTGAAAATAATTTTACAAATTAAATTTGGGTGGGATTTCACCGAGATTGTTACATTGTTAAAAAACAAGATTTGTTAAGCTTGTCAGGACAGGCTTGTAACTTCCATGCCATAAGCTGAATACCTTTAGATGGCTGGAAGATGATAGGATGAACTCTGTGGTTCTACAAAGGAGAAGCACTATGCTGGCAATTTGACTAGAAGCCCTAGCAACACAGTAAAAAACTCAGGTTTAGAATGTGTCAGCTGTCCTGGCCCTCAAACAGTGAATTTGCTGCAGGAGCTTTCTGGGCACTATGTACATGGGACACAACTGGAACGGTTTATAAAAGCCAGGATATTTTTAGATTTATAAGACTGCCATAAAAAAAAAAAAAAAAAAAAAAAAAAAAAAAAAAAGGATGGAAATAGTGCAACCTTGAATCTTTTCAGCATGCTATTATACACATGAGCCTTCTCGGAGCTATTGATTAGCAAACTGCTCTCTCTCTGTAATTAAGCTCACTGACAAGGAGATAAACATTATCACATTGGTTTCAATGCCATTTCTCAATCATTCCAAATTCCAAAATAAACTAAAAGTTTACCGTGATATCTCCTCAGCTTATTTTGTTCCAGCAGCCCCTTAGCTTTTTTGATCAGTTCTTCTCTATTTTTTTCCATGTGCCTTCTCTCTGTCTTCATCTGTTGCAATTGTTCTTCCATCTTGTTTTCTAAAGATATTATAATTATATTTAGCAAGCATCTGGATACTGTAAATAGGTAGGATCAATCAAGATTTTTGTAATGCACCCATCATAAATCACGCCAAAAGCTCTGTCATAACAGGGAGTAGAAATTCTTTTATTTTAATAAACTACCTCTAACTTTGTAAAATGTCTGGTGCTTCACAAAAAAGTGAGAATTCCAGCATGCATCCAGGCATTCATCCACGCACACAAACAACTACAGACCTTTTATATGTATAAGCAATGTATCACTAAAACTGTATTTTCAAGATATATATGCACCACATACACGGAAAACTCTTGCTACATGAAGCCAAAAAAGCCTCCAAAAGACTATTTCCTGCTTAAAATACTTTGCAATATAAAGAAACTATAGCAAAATCTTGCCTTAAACTCCAGCTGGTCATAGGCAGGACAGTATCTCAGACTTTCACTAGTCTGCAACAACAGGTTAATCACTTATCTTGTTACTGTCCTCCTCCTCCATGACAGCAGAGGAAACTCAGCGCTACTCCTAGTGCCTTTCTTTGCTAGGTTCTCACTCGAGCCAGCAGTATTTCATCTGGCCTCCCTCCTTTTCTCCTTCCATCCCCAAGTCCACAAGCTGGGTTTTCTAGTGAGCACTGGGAACCTGCTATGCTCTACGAACAGCCCGTGCAATTATAAATGCCTGGAATTTTCCAACCACAAATTAAAATTTGGAACAATACTGCGAATGAATGTATGTACAAATTCTTTCATGAAATAGGTTATTTCTGTCTTCATTAACTATTCAGTCTTGATTAAATGTTCACTTCTCTTCAATTTCTTGGAATCATGTACTCACTTGCTACCTGGGTTGCAGGAACTTGAGCTGGATTTACAGAAAGTGCCAGAAAAGGTGGACTAGGAGGCGAAATATATTCTTTTGGACAAGTACGGTTTTGCTTGTTTTTATCTGCCTATAGAGTCAGAAGACACAACTGTAAGTACATTACTCATAATCCTGAATAGTTACATTAGACATATGCCCTGAAATTGGCCTGAGTGAATGGGAGGGCTAAATTTGAATTCTGCATATAAGCTTTTTTATTGTGTTACCAGTACAAATGGTGACTAAATTACAAACAGCTGGACCTCTGCAAATAAAATCAGAGCACTAAACACTTACGTCACAGAGAACATACGGACAAAAATGTAGACTCTCTAACTGTTCTTGTCCATGTCCATAACCCCACAAGTTACTGACACTCCCATGCAAGACCAGGAATAACGGGCCTTAAAACTGCCATCTGGCTCATTGCTTGTAAACTCTGGACTGCCAATTTCTAAAATAAAATTTATAACAGCAGATTTTCAATTTCATTATTATTTTCATAAGACTCCACTACAATCACTTCTGTGCAAGAGCTCACAGGTGACAGTTAACAGTGACAGCTATAGTGCTGTGTCATTGCATGTGGGTGCTGAGGTCTCCTAAATGTGCTCTTATTCTGATTCTATGAATATTGTCTAGGTTGGAAGGGACCTTTAAAGATCATTTAGTCCAACCATCAACTAAAAACCATCACTAAATCATGTCTCTAAGCACTATGTCAACCTGTCTTTTAAATACCTCCAGGGATGGTCACATATATGTTTTAAAGGATTTTATTGTTTTTTATCAGAAGTTTTGTTTGGCCTCAGAGACGACAAATTTATCCCATAGAAATATGAAATTATGAAAACGCCACCAAAAAAACCAATAAAATGTTACTGTCAAGAAACTGTAAAAAAAAAAATTCAGCTAACATTAATAAGACTGAGATAGTTACTGAATATGTACTTCCTGTTAAATTAAGCCAGAGATAGAACTTCTGTTGATTTCATTGTTTAGAACTAGAGTTGATTTTTCATCAGCAAATCTGCAGAGTAGCAGCAGATGAATTAACTTTTTTCAATTACTTTCAAAGCTACATTTGAGTATTTCATATTTCTAATGAGTTACCTGTCTTACAAAATTAGGCTGTTTCTAGGTGGAGGTCTCTTTATTGCTCCAGATTACTAAGAATATGTTACCCTAAAAAACACACCTGATCATCCAGTTTTTCACCAGGATCAGCTATAGACTTGCTAGTTCCGTGTTGCTGCAAGCTAAAAATAAAACCAAAGAAGCAAGTGAAAGCTCACATAATGAAACAGACTTTCCCCCCATTTTCTTTTATATATTTGAAGTCTGTAAAATAAGTTTCTAGACAGGGATCAATATTATCCATTATTTTAGCAGAATCCATATTTACTAACCTTTGTTTTTTGTGTACATATCCTGTGGTTTGCTCTTCCATTATTTTAAGAATTCCAGCATCCTGTGTTCTGTCTCTTCTTCGTTTGGTATCTTTTTGGTGGTCGTTATTGTCCATGTTTGCTAGTTCTGTGACAGGATAGTGATGATCAAAATATATAAATTACACTCATAAAATTCGAGCTGTTTTGACTGTCAATGCCTGGACTTTCCAACCTGTATTAGAAATTCAATGAATCAATCCAATAAATAATTTTATCTCTGGGGCTTGGAAATTTTGTGTGAATCACAGAGGAAAGAAATAGAAGAACAAAATAAGCTTTTTTTTTTTTTGAGAATTTCTGTCTAACTAATTCTTGGTAACTAGTACAAGAAATATTATCACAGATAAGAAAACCACTTAATTATTTCACCTTCCCTAAACTAATTCTGTATCTAACAATTTCTGCCTTTCAGAGCAAAACGTTTCGCATTTAAATGTTCATGAATAAATGTTGTTATCTGCTTTATAATATATACAATAAATATTTCAAAAGAAAATTACTGACAGACTTCACCTTTGCTACTTCAAAACCCTACATCCCTCATCATTCAAAATAATTTATGGAAAACTTTTCAGTTATTTATTTACATATACATTTGTATATTAAGTGGTCTCATACTTAACATCAGTTAACATGATGATGGAGAGACAAAGCTATTTTTGAGACATTATGACTGGAAACTAAAATTACTGAAAAGTCATCCATGAAATCCTTTTCTAATATACTCTCCAGACACGTCTTGTATTCAAATTTTTGTTTTCTTAGTCAAAGTATGGGATACCCAGAAAATAATCTTAACTGAGATTTGTAAGCTGTCTATATCTACGAAAAACTGGATATTGCCTCATTTAATAATTACTCATTAAAAATGTGCAATAAAGACCATCTTTTTTACATGAACTGTAAAATTCTGCTCAAGTATTAAGACTTATCTTTCAAAAGTATTTCCTCAAAAACAATTTATATTATAATTTTTATGCTAATATAGCAATAGTCATTCAAATCCAATTTAAATGCATCAGTCATTTCTTTCTTGGTCATCACTAAAAATTAAGAATATTACCAGGGACTTAATGCCCCTCAGTATCCCTAAGACATCACATTTTAAAAGAAGCAGTAGTTAATAGATCTCTTCCAAATAACATTTTCTATTGTGGCACAGAACTGTTATCCAGTTAATGTGTACTTTAAACCTCTCCATACTTTTGTACTATTTTCACTGTAGTCTGCTCAAGGAGTTCTCTCACCTCTCAGTTTTAGGAATGCCACTGTTCAATAATGTATAAATAAAAACTATATGCGATGGAGGGGGGGAAACTCTTCCTCTTCAGTAGTAATGCAACCATGGATAAGAGGACAATGAAAATTGAAGTGAATAAATGCTTTCCCTAATATTCTGATATCAAGATTTTTTTTCATTTAAAACTGCTGTTGAATTATGGAATCATTATCCTCCGATAGTTGCTTTGTAATTTTTTTTCATATAAGTAAGATTAGACAAATACATCAACTATAGTAAAGTGTTCACTATATCAGTACACAGTGATAAAGAAGGACTCATTCAAATTGAAACTACAGCTCTTTGAAAGACATTATAAAAAATTAGAATACTGTTCTAATAGCAATATCCCAACTCATGCTTTAACTATAGTTTTCTTAAAACTTAGCTTTACTCTGTCAACGTTCTAAAGAGCATGCTTTAGCAAAAAGATGACAATGCACAGTTGTACCTTTTTGATATTTAATGTGATTTTGGAGTGCTTGATTATTCTGGCCTTCGTCATCACTGTGGTTTACGTGAAGAGTAAGAGCAGTTCCTTTGGCTTTGTCATTCCCCTTGGCAGTGTTATGCTTTTTTTGATCCTGGCTGAGATGATTTTGCTGCGGGGTCTGTAATACCATATCACTCTTCCCAGACTCCCAATCTGCAGGATTTGAATGACTTGGTGTGAAGAAAGATCCAGTGAATACATTTTGATCTGCATTATAATTAGTAGAAAACAGAATATTATTTTATTGTAAATGTTAACAATATTTATCCTTCTCCTTTCACCACCCTCTTCCACTACATTGGTTAAACTTACCTTTTTCTCTAAGCTGTACAGTTTTTTCTTGGATCCTGTTGTTATGGTCTTGCTTGTGTTCTGTGGGCAAAACTGGAACGGGTTCTTTCGCATCCCATCCCACAGGACTGTGTTCTACCTGATTTTCTAGCTGATGAGTACTCTGTATGCTTTCTAAAAACTTGCTCTTTTCATGTTTTTGCAGGGGAAGAGTGGATAATCTTGATCCATGAGCAAACCTATTAGCTTCTGCATTAAAGTGATGTTTTTCTTGAGTAACAGATGATGATAACGGATAAACATCTTCAAAGTATTCCATTCCAGGTAACAAATACAATTCAGGATAAACAGCCTAAAATATACAGTATATTTATCAGACAGGACAAAAGAGGAAATGTGCAATGTAAAAAGCTTCTGGAAATTATACCTTAAAAGCCATTCAATACATACATATGGAGGAGCAAATAACTCCAGTGTCAGTTCTGTTTCTTGCTTTGCTTTCACCTTGGAAGATAAAAAAATTGAAGCATAACCAATAAAATACTTTTTTATCAATATTGTTACATATAATTTATTTTCTATATTCTGTTACCATCTTTACATACTACATTTTTTCTTAATGAGCACTATCTTCTATAGTGGCCTGCTGCAGGAACACAGACTGCTATTCTATTTTCTGATGTGGCACTGAAACTTTGTCTATTTTTCAAAATCTCAATCAGACCCACGAGAGTACATGGATGCACTGAATAGTTTTTTATATCCTTTGCACTTTCTCTTATGGTTCAAAGGACCTGATCCAACAGTCATAGCAGAAGAAAGTCTTAGACTGTCTTTACCAAAAGTTGCTTCAAGCTGAATCTGGATAGAAATTCCAAGTCTCACATAATTTTTGCTATTCACCTGATACAATACTGCAAAATATTTAATGAATATAGGAAAAAAAAATATTTACTACTCTCCTATGTCTTCTTGCATTTATTCTTTGTCTTGATATTTTTTGTGATACACTTTCAGATTTCAACACTCATCCTAAAAACAAAGTCTAAGATAATCAATGTATATTTGAAAAACATGCTCCAGTAGAAAGAAAAAAAAAAAAGGAAATCTGAGCTTATAGTTAAATAATGAAATTGAACTAAACATGGGGCCACATTCTGTTCTGAATATGGCCAGGTGATGTCATTGATTTACTGTTAGAGACACATGCTGTAGGCAAGAAAAAGAGGAGCAAATGTACACAACTTTGAACTTTGGCTTAGGCTTATTTTTTATTTAAAGACCCTTACTTGCAAGTAGGGTACAGCTCTTATTACTGCTTACATTGTTACTGTTGTGAAACAGAAGACTGGGGGTGGGAGGAACACACTCAACAAATATTTGGTCATTGAGATGTAATTCAATGAGGTTACCATGACCCTAAACAACAAATACACCAGTTAGTTGGTTTATTGCTTTACACTTTGTTATCAAGTTAAATATCAAGCGACAGTAAATACTCCAAATTAAAATTGTGTCTTTGTCCCTAAAAATCTTCACTTGTATCTACCAATATCTTTAATTCTCAATTAAATTAAAATATTTTATTAAATTCCTGACAGTCTAAAGGAAGCTGGAAAATGTCTCTATTTATCTCAGAACTATCACTGGGGAAGAAAATATACCACCTTACTTACTATGATGCAGTTAAAAACACCTCAGTTCTCTGAAGACATATGAACATTTTCAGATTCAGATTGTGTCACAGTCTTTAAGTTTCTCTTAGGATTTTTCCACCTAGTTTTTGCACATGACTTAATATTTATTCAGCTTTTCTATGCAAGTAATTTTAGTAATAACTCAACTACAAATGAAATAAAGAACAGAACCAGATTTCCAGCTTGTAAATAATTTCCAAATCTGTGAGAAACAGAGGTGAAATGAGAAGTGAAAAAAATATCCTATACTTATGTACCTCACTTAAGTCTGTGTGTATTACATGAACAAACTTTCAGTTGGGCTCATTTTCAAGTTTATTTACTCCTCAGCTGTAGTTTGTAAGATACAAATATATAGAGAATCAATGTGAGGAACAGTTATGATTCAGAGATGCAGGTTTTTGATTACATAAATCTCAGGCTGTATTACTGGACAAACCAGTGGAACACAAACGTACAGCCAGAGAAGTTTTCATTCAGAGACTGATCTTTAAAGGCTTTTAGGCTGGTCATAGCAGTAAACATTAAACAAACTCTGACTTACTCAGCCGCCATTGCAAATTCTTCACATGCCATATTCCCAAGAATGTACTGGTAATAATGACCATAGGGGGATTTTTTTTTTTAATGCAACCAGATTTGTCATATTTAATCTATTGACTTATCAAAACTAGCATCTTTTCACTGGTTCACAACTAATTACATCTGATACTTTAAAGGGTATTTCTAATATACCTGTCCAGCGGTGCCTTTGTGTTTGGGGAAGTAGATGTGCTCCAATGAGCTTACGCTCCAGCGTGTTTAAAAACAAAGGCTAACAGTGCTCCTCAAGTTATCTCTTCTATTTTCCTGTGATATTACCTAATCTGCAGGAACAAAAATCTGCAGTTTATATTATAATGCAGAAAAGCACTAAAGGAAAAAAATAGTAACTTACCACTGCTAGTTTTTTCCCAATGCATTTTAAAAATTTGAATTTATCTGCAACTGCAACTCCACCCAGATATTCTCCAAGCTTCTCCCGTAGTGCTCTTAATGTGACGTGAGGAGACACCCTAGAATTATGTTATTCATTAATACATATGTAAGATCAAATAACAATGGCTTTTCATGGAACCATAGAATGGTTTGGGTTGGAAGGAACCTTAAAGATCATCTAGTTCCAACCCCCCTGCCATGGTTGGTGGAAACTTCACCAGACTGTCACGACTTCTCAAATATGATGGATAGTGGCTCAGCAACTTGCATCTCATCAGGTCTGATGGACTTGTGTACCTTCAGGTTCCTTAGATGGTGTTGAACCTGGTCTTTTCCTACAGTGGGCAGTTCTTCATTCTCCCAGTCCCTGCCTTTGCCTTCTGCAACGTGAGCAGTGTGGTTAGAGCACTTACCAGTGAAGACTGGAAAAAACTCATCAACCTCAGCCTTCTCCATGTCCTGGGTAACCAGGTCTCCTGTTTCCTTCCTGAGAGGGCCCACATTTTCCCTAGTCTTCCTTTTATCACTGACATATCTACAGAAGCTTTTCTTGTTGTCCTTGATGTCCCCAGCCAGATTTAACACTATCTGGGCTTTAGCTTTCCTAACCTGATCCTTGGCAGCTTGGATGATTTCTCTGTATAACTCCCAGGCTACCTGTCCTTGCTTCCACCCTCTGCAGTTAGTAAGAGCGGGAAGATACTGCTATATACAAGCTGGTTTGCAAAATGGTTTCCAAACCAGTTTGCAAGCTGGTTTCCAAAAATGGGAACTATGTCCTGGAACTCAACCTAATTACATACAGTCTAGAGAGTCTTGGTGTGGTAGAGTCAGAACGTTGTATCACGTCATGGTAGATTGTATTACAAGGGCTGTCATAACATTAACTAGCAACATTCATATTTCAGGAACCCCATACAAAGGGAGAATATGGAAGTAGCTGAAATTTGAAAATGCCTCCCTCAGAACACTCTTGCTCATCCACAGATGAATAACATTGGAAACTACAGTCATGTATTTCCATACAGGTGACAAAGTTTCATGGGGCCAGTCCAGGGCTGTAGAACATACCTCTTCAAGCACTAAGAGCTAGAGGAGACGTCATCACTGTCCACTTTAAGGAGCAGGCACATTCCTTTGATTTCGTCTTCTCCAACACAAATTTACAGTTGGGTGTGTGCATGCGTACATGCAAATGTATTTTAAATCAAAACCAAACACTTCAGTGTGAACATTTCCACCATAGTTTGAGGATGAGAGAGCTGATGCAAATATGAATTGCATCATTTACTGTACTACTGGAAACCATGCAAATGTTATAGTAATGAGCTCAGTATAAAAATCAACATAGAATAAAAAGCAACTCTACAGAACAAAACCAAATGTACAAGAGGCACACAAAAGTTCTGCAGCACAACATAAACAACTCTAATTGCTCCTATGCTGCCATATAAAATAAACCAGTGAACAAATTCAGGCCTGAGACTGTTAATTACCCATGCTGATTAAGTGTTAGTATTCTACCTAACATGATTTTGGCTTGGGGGATAGCACATGCCATTCTCAGCAAGCAGTACAGACAAGAACATGCCATCCCTTCAACTTGGACACATCTTCAACATTAACTTTTCAGGGTTTGTTTGGGCTTTCAAACAGACCTATATGCCTCCATTTCATTCCCTGGATATGTAAAAACACCCTCAAGTTTCATCTCATAAACACAGTACTTCAGTGGGCTACAGTGTTTTCCTTGCAGTATTTCAAACACCTTCAACTTAGAGGATCTTCCTGAAGATGATAAATCTGCCTTGGAGCACAGGCAAGCAGCAAAGGAGACCCAAGTCTGCAGAGTGGACACATCTAGGCCACACTGCTTGGTCTCTGTACATTTAGCTCCTGTTTATTTCTTCTCCTCCTTCTTTATTGCCCACACTTGCTGCAGATATTAGCCCTAATGTCATTTATTTTAAATGTATAAAGAAATATGGGAAAGATGGATACATAATGCAATACACATCCTTCCAAGGTCTCACGTGAGAACAGAGATGACCTATAATTCAAATATCTCTCATTCACTACCATTCCTTCAAGCTGATGTCTCAGAGAAGATATGACCCCCTTAAATGGTCTCCTGAAACCCAATAAATGAAAGCTCTTTGCATTTCCAAGTTCTAACACTGCACATCTTTCACTGACAATGCCCATCCAAACCAGCAAGGAAACCTAGATCTAAGGCAATTATGAACAGCAGGTAAAACATCTAAGTAACTATGATGTATCATGGGAGAAAATTATCTAGGTATACAGAACCTGAGATACAGGGCAGAAATTCATCTGAAAATTACTTGCCGGTGCAGCTGCTAGGAACATATAATAATATATTTCTTACTTGCTGCCACTGGCTAGCAGAAGACTAGTCACATCCAAGTAATTTGCTTCAGGGTGTTCCTTTAAAAGTAATGCAAACTAGAGTTCATTGCAGCAATCTCATCTGGAAATAACAAAAGTATGGCTCCTGTGGTGAGGAATGAGGAATAAAGAAAAGATCACAGAGGCTGCAAAATCAAGTTCATGGGAACAGGAACACAGGGCCATACACAATTACACACTTAATATTTTCCTCTAATTTAATGATTAATGGAAATGGCCTGTACTTAGACCTAGGAATCCTTTGTTAATCTGACTCAGACTGTACTAGGATTCTCAACCTGACTGGATGGTGCTATCAACAACGCCCAAACAGCACGAGTACCAGCAAGGCTGCTGTTCCCTCTCCAGGATTGTAAGAGAAGTTTTTTTAAAATATTTTTTTGTTTTTAAAGATGTTACACTGGCTTGGGGCTAGTTATTGCTAACACTAATGTACTTCAGCATTGCATAATACCCATATTGATTAATTAGCAATTATTTAAGACTCATTAGCAAGCAACAAATACGCAGAGAGATATAAACCCACTGAAATCAATGAGAATCCTAATTTAAGTTGATGGCTCAGAATTGAGCTGTGGTGAAATAAATTTACACAAGTGAAGACAGGGCAGTGACAGAGGTCAAGTCATTTCATGTGATTAGAAGTTACTAGTGCAGACGTGTTTTGCACCTCTGCTGGAGACTAGTACAGCAAACAAAGCAGATACATACAGTTATTTCCTCTGGCTTTGAGCAGCTTTTCAACAAAAGAAGCTGTGAGAATGAATACATTCTGCTCTACATGCTCATACCTAACTGTTGTCAATCTTTTCAGCTACACAGTATATGGTCTAAAGTGGACAATAAAAGCCTAAATTTAAATTAGTTAAAACCCATATTCCCTGCAGTTTAAGCTCAATTGACAGGTTTTGCACAGGAGCAGACAAGGTGCATATAAAAGCTCCATTTCAACACACGTATCTACATTATCTGATTCCTCTACAACTTCTTACCACACTGGATACACACTGATTTTGCAAGTAAAGCATTTAGGAGTATGAAACAAACTTTCAAAGTTATGAAAGTAAAACTGCAACTCTCTGTGCCGGGTTTGGGCCTAGGACTGGAACCGGGTGATGCTTTCACCACCTGAGAGCACACATAGCACACAGTGTTGTGGGTAACCTCTCAGAAAAAGAATTCAAGATTTTGATAATCAGACTTAAGGAGACAGAAAGAATATGAGACCATGATTTTACAACATCAATTATTCTGCAGAAATACTAGTGCTGCTCTGGAAGTGCGTTTCAATGGCCTACATCAAGGGTCACAATGGAGCTAAGCTTGATACAGTCCAAACAAATGTAACACTAGTCATGGGCACCACTTGCCCTCTAGAACTTATTAGAGAACAAGTCTCTTCTGACAGATGTAATCATGCTCTACAGAACAACAGCTAAATGACTGAAGAATAACATAAAGGACCTACCACGTACATGAAGCCTAAGACTATACTCACCTTATAAATCCAGCTGAGATAAACTTGCTAGTAAGAGCTACAGGAACTGTATTCAGCTTGAAGTTCCACACTTCTTCTGGGACATAAAAAACATGGAGCTCCACCAACTAAATAAAGTAAGAACAGATGATCATAACTGTAGGTATATTATAATACTCTTCCTATACGCTTTGTTTTGCTTTGCTGGATTTTCAATTTCTGGAGGCAGGAAGGGCTTCTTTGATAATAAAGCCTCAATGCTCTAGCCCATGTGCTGACAATGATGACTAGATAGCCAGAACAGCCATGAATAGAGTAATTTGTGATTCAGTGCCAGCTGACAGCATCAAAACAAGTCCCATTAGAACAAGCTCAACAATGGAAATAAGAGCCTATGCTTGTGCTGTATGTCACTGTTGACAGCAATAGAAAGAGCTTACCAAGAACAGCTGATCCTCTGGAGTGTGTCACAGATACAAGAGTACTTCAGCTAAAATCCTACCTTTGTTCACCTCGTAAGTCCTAAAAGCTTGATCCAAATGTAGTAGAAAGCACCATAATCAGTAAGAAAAAAATTTCAAAATATTTTGGGCAGCTGTTAATAATGTTAGTCAGCTTAGAAGCACAGAAGTGCTCTTGGTAATGTCTGCAACAAGACTAAGCCTGCTCTGAGCAAGGTTCACTTAGATTATGTTCAAACCCGTGGTAGTTGTAGGACCATTAATGTCTGGATCTTGATATTTTCAGTGAAAAATCATATTGACAAGGAAGATATACTTCTGAAAAGCTTTCCCTATAACTAGAAGCTATGCAAATAAGTGATACAAAGTATTTCTGCAATTGCTTAGTTACTAAATATGAGAAAGAAAAGAATGCTTTCTGTATATACTATGTTAGAAGCACGGGTTTTTTCCTCCCAGGCCTTCTAGAAATGGTGCATTGTCACTTATTTTAATTTTTTTTAGATTTTTATTTAGGAAATCTAAAAAATCTCTATGGAAAATTACAAAAAAATCTCACCTGTGATGTCTGAGGTCTCATTTGACTGAACGACATGTTGATCCCTGTACTTGATGACAACGAATGCCAGGTGGGTTTTCTAATTTTCTTTTTGAGTGAAACATTCTTTAAGAATGAGTTTCATGACAAACTGCTATGAGATAAGTTACTACATTAATTTCCTTTATTTTCATATAGCATTCTTCTTTCTATTTATGAAAAAAGTTGCCTCTGTGCTGAGGGAGAAAGCCTCCAGCTGACTGCAGACAAACAGACCCAACCACACCTTCTACACAAGGATCACCTAAGTAACTGGGGGAATTGCTAACCACAGCCCTGCAGCTCTGAGAAGTTTGCCCTGGAGAACTTCCTCTTAACATTTTCTCCCCTTTCATAAAAATACTGAAGTTTTATATAAATTTCTACACAACTGCACTGTATTCCTAAAGACACAGAGCAAAACCCCCACAAAATGGGATTCTTGCAGAGCCTAGAATTATCTCCAATAAAGAGACAATTACCGTGAACTGAAGCCAAGCCACACACAGGACACATCGTGCTGGCCAAACGCACTACCACAAGGAAAACCGACTGTGCCATGTCACAAATATCCTTTCACAAACTACCGTGGTTGTTAGAGTTTTTCTTTTCTCGCACCTGAAGCCTCTTCCAGCATCTCCTTCTTAGCCTGTCCTTAGGGACATGGTTCAGTGGTAGTTTGGCTGTGTTAGGTCAATGGTTGGACTCGATGATCTTAAAGGTCCCTTCCAACCTCAACAATTTTCTGACTCTGATTTTCAGCGGGCTGAACGCCCTGACTGCTCTCCTGATCACCTTCATGGCTCTCCCTCTCACCCTCACTACTTCTCATTAGCCTTTTCTTGAGTGCAAGGGACCAGACCTTCCTTCCAGATGACCTTCCAGGCCTTGCCCTGGCTCCGTGCAGTGGAATTAAGTTTTCCTCGTGTCAGTGGGAAGCGCCCACTTAAAAGGGCTTGTGTCTTTATTTGCCTCTTCACAATTACACTGCAACGAGCTCTCAGGAGTGCCCTGACCAGCACACACTGCCACAGCTGTTCCCAAGGGAAGGCACAGCAGGACACAGCACAAGTCCTTCTCTATACATGCACGACGTTGCACTGGCACTATGAGGCACCATTATTCCGTGCTTCACGGCCATTCCTGGACACTTTCTGCAGTAAATACCCACCTCCTCCAGACCGGAGTCAAGACCCAAACACGCTGCCATGAGCACAGTTCGCAACTTCATTCATTACGTCTCAGAATAAGCACCAAACTATTAACTAACTTGTTATTAGCGCCACGATTTGCCACCTTGGTCTCAACAATGTCTCCTCGCTTAATCCACCTCATAGACAAATGGAGGGAAAGCTAGGGTACACCCGTGTTTCCAGGCGATTCCCCCCGTGCCGGGCACACTAGGCTCGGGGCCCAACAGCCACCAACCGACACCTCCAGCCACACACCCGGACGCCGGAGCCGCCCCCGCCCGCGGCCCCGCAG